TAGAAGTTCTTGGAAAGTTTTTTCGAATGATGATATTGAAAATCGAAAACCCGAAACTTTTTATGTTCTTTGAAATATTGAGGTCGAAATTGAACTAGAGATTCAATGTGGAAATTAACACATTTTTTTTAAATTGATCAAATTTCACTCAGAAAAAAACAATTTCCTAACCGTTTATTCTTTCGGAATTTCGAGGAATTCGAAAAATAATTTACAGGAAAATGCCCTCCTCCGTCCTGTTCAAAGCCTGGAAAAATTAACTTTTTTTGAATATTTTACCCTTGAAGTAAGAGTTTAGATAAGAAAAAAAGTGGTCCAAAAATGAAGTACGTTTCGAAGAAATCAGAAATATTCCGTGTGAAAAGTTTGATTTGATCTCTCTTGTCTGCTTTTCTGAATATTTACAATCAAAGCTTCAATTTCTTCATGAAATTTAAAAAAGTCTTTCTGGAATATTTGATAGTTTTTTTTTTTCGAAAAGTCTGGAGATCTCCTATTCCTCTTTCTGAATCACTCCTTAATCACATTATCGTTTATATTTTCTTTATAGGTTCTTTAGAATTCCAAAAAAAGGGTCTCAAATAACAAGAAGAAACAGTTTCGGAAAGTTCCAGAACGCGGACTCCGAGGAAAAAGAAGCGAAAGCCAAGGAGATTTCGAATATCATGAAGAGTTTGCCGGCCCATCAAAGAATCGTCCAGAATTTCAGGTTTCTTCCATTTCAATGTGAACAAACGAACAAGTTTTCTCTTTTTCGAAAGCGGATTTATTAAAGCAACAAAAAACCCGAGTACAACTGTGAGAATACAACGAAAATGTACAATTGAACAATAAATTATCGAATTTGCAAGTTAGTCGACCTCCTCGACGGTCGGTCCAGCGGGGTAGTTGGCGTTGGAGAAGCCGGCGGCGCCGGGAGTCCCGCAGGAGCCCTGCGACTGCTGCGACGACTGCTGGTGGAGCTGCGTCATGAGCGACTGACAGACGCCGCGGAGTTCCTTGTCGCGAGCCTCGATCTCTTCGCGTTCGGCGAGGCTGTTGGCGTCGAGCCAGCGGAGCGTCTCCTCGCAAGCGTCGCGGACGCGACTCACGTCTTCGGCCGGCAACCGGCTGCCGTGCTCGTCCAAGGCCTGCTTCACCTGGAAGGCGTAGGCCTCGAGGGAGTTGCGCGACTGGACTCGTTCGCGTTGCGACGCGTCTTCTCGCTCGAACTGCTTGGCCTCGGCGACGAGACGGTCGATGTCGGCCTGGGACAGACGGCCCTTCTCGTTGCGGATCGTGATTCGGTTCTGCTTGCCGGTCGACTTGTCCTGGGCGGAGACGTTCAGGATGCCGTTGGCGTCGATGTCGAAAGTGACGTCGATCTGCGGGACTCCACGAGGAGCTGGAGGAATGCCGGAGAGCTCGAAGAGGCCCAGCCGGTGGTTGTCCCGAGTCATGGCGCGCTCTCCTTCGAAGACTTGGATCGAAACGCCTGGCTGGTTGTCGGCGTAGGTCGAGAAGGTCTTCGTCGCACGGCAGGGAATCGTAGAGTTGCGGTCGATGAGGTTGGTCATGACGCCTCCAGCAGTTTCGATGCCGAGGCTGAGAGGAGCGACGTCGACGAGAAGGACGTCTTTGATGGCCTGGTCCTGGACTCCAGAGAGGACTGCGGCTTGGACGGCTGCTCCGTAGGCGACGGCTTCGTCAGGATTGATGGAACCGTTGAGCTCCTTGCCGTTGAAGAACTCTTTGAGCAGCTTCTGGATCTTTGGCACGCGAGTTGAGCCTCCAACGAGCACGACTTCATCGATCTTGGACTTGTCGAGCTTGGCGTCGCGAAGAGCCTTCTCCACTGGTTCGAGCGTCTTGCGGAAGAGGTCGGAGCAGAATTCTTCGAAACGAGCACGAGTGATTTTGGAGCAGAGGTCGACACCTTCATGGAGAGAGTCCACTTCGACCATGGCTTCGGCGGAGCTGCTCAACGTTCTCTTGGCACGTTCGCAGGCTGTTCGGAGACGTCGCATCGCCCTTCTGTTCTTGCTGATGTCCTTGCCGGTCTTGCGTTTGAACTCAGTAACGAAGTGGTCGACCATCCGCTGGTCAAAGTCTTCTCCTCCGAGATGAGTGTCTCCAGCCGTGGACTTGACTTCGAAGAGAGATCCTTCGGCGATGGTGAGGACGGAGACGTCGAAGGTGCCTCCACCAAGGTCGAAGATGAGGACGTTCTTCTCGCCGACGAGGTTCTTGTCGAGGCCGTAGGCCAGAGCGGCGGCAGTCGGTTCGTTGATGATTCTGATTGCGTTGAGGCCGGCGATCGTGGCAGCGTCCTTGGTGGCCTGTCTCTGGCTGTCGTTGAAGTAGGCAGGGACTGTGATGACGGCGTCGCGGACTGGATGGCCCAAGTACGTCTCCGCAGTCTCCTTCATCTTGCCGAGCACCATCGCACTGATCTCCTCGGGATTGAAGGTCCTTCGTTCGCCCTTGACTTCGGCTTGGATGACTGGCTTGCCGGCGCGGCTGGTCACAGCGAACGGAAGATGTCTGAGATCGGCCTGGACTGCGGGATCATCGAACTGACGGCCGATGAGTCGTTTGGCGTCGAAGACGGTGTTCTCCGGGTTTCTGGCGGCCTGGTCCTTGGCGGCGTCTCCGACGAGTCTTTCGGTGTCGGTGAAGGCGACGTAGGATGGCGTCGTCTTGTTGCCTTCAGAGTTGGCGACGATCTCGACTTTGCCGTTCTGATAGACGCCGACGCAGGAATAGGTCGTGCCCAGGTCGATGCCGATAGCTTTGCAGTTGGACATGACTGAGGTGAGAGTAGATTGGAAGTTTGGAAGTTTGGAAGCAGGAATATTCAACAAGTGAATCTGAATCTACGGCGAAATCCAGCGCTCATATACTATTTTTGATGATTTCTCGAATTTTCACGATGTTTCCAGACCCTTCTAGAACCCCTCGCTCGTTTTTATCTCTGTTCCTCTCTCTCTACCTCCCTCTCTTTTTCTCTGCTCGTCTGGGGTCTCCGCTGCCCTAGACCATTGTCTCACTTGTCCTCTCGCCGTCTGGTGTCTCTCTTCTCTCGCCTTGTAGATGTTTCTCAGTTTTTCTAGGACCGTCGAGAGTCATCTGGAAACTTTTAGAAGACTTTCTTTTTTCTAATGTTTTCCGGGGATTTCTCGCAGTTCTTTACCACATTATTCTTGATAGACAACAGAGGGAGAAATTTATTGAGTTTGTAACATAAAATGAACATCGATATCCTAATTTAAAAATTTGAATAGAAAGGTTTTTAATTTTTTTTGATAAATTTGTAGTTTAGTTATGGTTCAACTGTATTTGGGCTAGAGGTAAAATGAGTATTAAAGCAAAAAGTTTTTTTAGAAGTCATTGAAAAAAAGAGACACAAGTGTTGTGGAAAAATTTCGCAACTAGGAAAAATTTGATGCGAAATTTCAACGTTTTTTTGGTCTCTGTTCCCTTTTTTTCCGGTCGATTTTATTTTTAAAAAAACTACTCTTTATGTATCCATTATTTAAAAAAATAACAAGTTATAATTTAAAATTATCGTTTTTTTCTATAGTTTATCTTCAAAAAGAAGTATAGTTTGAACCAAAAATCGAAATATCAAAATGACGAGTTGATGAACTATTTGCACTGCAAAAAAAGAAGTGACGAATCGTTTGCCATTTCCTATGCCCTTATCGATTGTTTGCAAAAATGCTTATCAACCTTGTCCAAAGGTATTTATCGAAATAGATCAGTCTTTTTCATTTTCGATCTTGATCTGTACTTTTTTAAAAGCCATATTTAGAAGAACTTTTATATCCTTTTTTATTTCTCCGTGGTTAAAAATTATTTTTCTCGATTTGCTGTGATACTGTCAAAATATTCATATGCAAAGTCGGAAAGGGTGAAAAAAGGATTCATAGAAATTTTCCTGTTTTTCTGCTTTTTTGCGTCATTTTATCGACCCTTAAGGACCATTTTTGCTGCCTTTTCCATTTTCAACCCTTTTCAGAGCCTTTAAAATCTCAGAAAGAATGGAAGGCTCGATAAAGAGACCCTTTTTGCTGCCTTTTTGCGCCCTATATTGAGCCTCTCCTTTCTAGCGGCCATTTTCCACCCTCCCGACTTTTTTCGAGTTTGGAGAATCGATAGCTTTTCTTAAAAAATTTTTTTTTCTTAAATTACTAGTGATCTTGTTTTATTTTAAAGTCCACTTACTTTGTACAAAAAAATTTTTGTATCTGTTTATTTTTTTCTGTAGTTTAAAAAAATTTTTAATTTTTAATACTGTCACATTTTTTTGAAAAAGTCTGTAGTTTTTCCTTAAAATGAACATTTTTTTAGAAAAATAAAATTATTCATAGTTTTTTTCACCTTATGGATCAATAAATATATTAAAAAAAGGGGTTTTCAAAGTAAAATGGGAGTTTAGTGACAAATTTGAAAAAAGTGAAATTTTTCAAGTCAACCTTTCTTAGAAGGTTTTGAAAACTTGATTTTTTTCAAACCGTTCTTGAAACTTTTTTTCGTAAAATACCGAATTTATACTTCTTTATCATTTAATAGTCGCCTGCTCTTTCTGTGACATACAAATTTGATAAATTAATAACAGTAATTTTAAGAAATAAGCATTTCTGGTTAGCTTCATTAGCAGCCGGAAGCTCCGAAGTGAGAATAATGACGGTTGAAAACTTGGAAATCTTTAAAAAAAAGTCAACTAGTTCTCTTAAAAACACCTATCGAATCTTGTTAATATTTTTAGAAATTCCTGCCTTTTTCGTAGCATTTTGATCGAAAAAAAAAAACATTTTTGTATCCAATTAAGGGAAGTAAGTTCCAAGAAAGAAGCTTGAAAGGTCTGACAATGTTCTTGTCTTCATCTGTTATTTTTATTGTACTTTTTTCGGCGAGAAAAAAAGAGCGCAGTCAGAAGAGACTTATAAAAATAGTGCAAAGCTTTGAAGAATTTTCAAACTCACGATCAAACTTTTCCAGACCATCTCCCCTAGATAATGTCGAATCGGACAGCGGTCGGCATCGATTTCGGAACGTGCTACTCTACGGTTGGCGTGTTCCGCAACGGAGAGGTCGAGATAATTCCCGACGCCGACGGGAACCTCAGAACGCCCTCCTTCGTCGCCTTCTCCGGCCAGGACGTCCTCGTCGGCCAGGCCGCCAAAAACCAAGTCGAGAATAACGCCGAGAACACCGTCTACAATGTTCTCCGACTACTTGGCGGACGCTTCGAAGATCCGAAATTCGAAGACCTGGCCGTCCGGGTACCCTATGAAGTGATCGATGAAGATGGCAGACCAGCGGTTGAAGTCAATTTTGAAGTGGGCTTTTTTTGAAGTTATAAAAATGATTGTGGATCACTTTGTCCGATGGATTGCCTCACTTAGGAACGCCAGATTGGCCCCTAGAGGGGTTTAGAAAAAAAGCCCCTATAAGAGCCGAAAAAGTGGTCTCTATAGGATTAAAATCAAGGTGGTTCCTATAGGGGTATCAAGTCTGATTCATGAGCCCCTGAAGCTCAAGTGGTCCCTATAGTAGTCTTTTAATCTTTTTTTTATGACTTGAAAGATAAAAAGCCATTCAGGGACTACTAGAATGCTCCCCTAGAGTGGCCACTATTTCAAGCTTTCGAGATTCAGGGGAAGAAAAGTGGTTTCTAGAGGGACAAGCAACTTGCGAGGTCCCTATAGGGCGTTTTTGAATAATCTTCAATAAGGAACGAGTTGATTTTTGAGTTTAGGGGATATTTTCGAAGCTTGTAGATTGATTCGAATTTTCAAACCTTCAAAAAGCGATAGAACTACATCTAAAGACCACTTTTCACGCGTTTTTTTTTCAAAACCCTCCTCATTTTCAGGGCCACCGAACCACATTCCTGCTCGAAGAAATCGTGGCCCTGATCCTGCGACACCTCAAGAAACAAGCGGAGGATCATCTGAATCGGTCGGTAGAGGAAGTCGTCATCAGCATGTCCGGCTCTTGGAGCACGCGACAGCGACAAGCGATGCACGATGCCGCAAAAATCGCCGGTCTGAAAGTGCTGCGACTTTTCCGCAACCCCGTCAGCTCCATGTACGGCTTTCATTTCGCCTCGTTAGAAGATGACGACGAGGAGGACGAGCCGATGAAGCCCTGCCAGGTTTGTCGAGCTGAATTTTGAAAATCGTATCTTGAAGGTTCTGACAAAAGTTTTCATGCTAGCGTTCCAAAATTAAAAATTCATTTTTTGGTCACAGTTATGTGCATATTGCACATCGGGTTCCATCAAAATTTCAAAAAAAGTCTGTTTTTCACTAACCTTTTTCGATTTGTCACGTCTTCAATATCTAGGTTATCGACGTCGGCGGCGGCTTCTGCCAAACTTGTGTCGCCGTCCTCGACCAAGGCGTCTGCATGGTCCGCGCCGTCGCCGACACGAAATCCCTCGGATCCGTCGACTTTGATCAGATTCTCATCTCGGAACTCGTGAAGAAACTCCCCGGTGGGGAAACTGTCCACAACGTTGAACGCCTCCGGAAAGTCTGGGAGGAAGAAGAGAGGAAGTCCTGCAGAGCTAAAGTCGTCAGCTTGAAGATCGACGACATTACCTTGGAAGTAGACCGGAACAAGTTCGAGGACGACTGCTGGAAGCTCTTCGACGAGTTCGAAGACATCCTGGCCGAGGCTCTGATCAAAGCCGACCTCAGACCCGACGACATTGCGGACATTGTCGTCGTGGGAGGTTGGAATAAGGTTCCCGGAGTCGGGCAGACGGTCGCCAACTTCTTCTACTCGGAGGACATCATCACAAGTCAGACTTCCGACGTCGCCTCGACCCAAGGCGCCGCGATCCTTGCCGCCCAACTCAGCACTCCTCAAATCGATGAACGTCTCCAGAATGTCTTCCTCATCGACGTTTGCCCAAGATCCCTGGGTATCGAGATCGGAGGCTCCAAGATGGCGCTTCTCCTGGAGAAGAACTCGAAAATCCCGTCAAGAACTAGCCGCAAGTTCAACCGGTCCGAAATCGGGACCACGGTTCGGATCCTCGAGGGAGAAGAGAGGGACTTTGCCAAAAACGATTTGGTGGCCACCTTCGACATCCCTGAAGACTGCTGGAATGGAGAAGAAGTCGAGATCGACTTTGAGGTCGGGCTGGACAATGATCTGACCGTTTTCCTCCCGCGACCAGAGAATCGGGACTTCAAAGTTGAGATCGGATCGGGTGGACTGTCGAGGAGTCAACTTCAAGCGTGTCGGGAGCGTATTGAAAAATTTTAGGTTGGATTTTACTTTTTGAAAAAAATTGAATTATTGATAAGTTTGTAAAATTGGTCACGAAAATGAAAATTTTTCTATGATTAAACAAATTCCGCACTATTTTTCTCAAAAAGTTCTCAAAAAGTTGTAAAATCATGTTTTTTAAAGACTCAGGACTAAAACAAAAAAATATTAATAGAGCTTACTTTCTTGATTTCTTGAAAAGAAACTCATCACTTTGTTCAAAGTTGGATGAATTAAAAAAACAATTTTTTTGTAAAAAAATTTTTCGCTTTGAAGATGGTGTTGTTGTAAATCTGGTTTTCAGGATTTTTTTACTGCGAATCATATTTAAAAAAATCTAACATATCATTTTTTTGCTCATTATTGCTCATATTAGAGGATATGTCCTTAAAAATTCAAAACCACTATATAAAGTTCTGATTTTATTTTTCATTCCGCGTTGCCTCTTTTTATTTGCATTGTATTTTTTCAATTTTTTGTCTTAAAATTGATTTTTCATCAATTTACTCACCGAAAAAGGTGTCTCATAATTCTGAAAATCGAGATTTTAGTGAAAATTGTAACGAAAATGGTTCCTTTGAACATGAGTCATTTTAATTTCGAGCTAATATTGATTTATTTTTCACTCGTTATGACCTTGAAATTTGATTCTTTATCAGAACATCTTTTTCTTTCAAAAATAAATATTCATATATTTCAGAAACTTTCCAAATCGTCTTCCATGAACGCCTTCCAAAATGGGTCAACAACTCTTTTTTTCGGTTAGTTTTATTTTATTTTTTTCTCCTTATAGAATACTTGAAAAAAATCAGAAATTCAGAAATTTTTCCTTCCCCGCTACTGGACTTCTTTAATACCGAAACTGTGCTTTTTTTGTTTCCAAAAGAAAAAAAGTTAATTTTCATTCGTAGCACCAGTTATAAAAAGACAAGAAAGGTTTAATAAATGGCATGCTGGAAAGTGCGCGCTGTGCGCACTCTTTTCTCGTGCGCAGGCTTGTGCGAGGGCCGGCCCGTCAACCTCTCGGCTCCCCGGCCACTTCCCAAGCCCGGCCCGGCCCGGCCTTAGAAGGGCCTCAAGCAAAAATGGCCGGCCCGGCCCAAAAAGCTCAATTTTTTTTCATTTTGAATTTTTCGCTTTTTCAACGAGAAAAGAGGGATTTTTTACTCATTTATCCTCATAGAGTTATAAGAAACTATGATTTAACAAGTAAAAATAATTTTTCGGTGAAATTTTCAAAAATGAAATTCAAGATTTTTTTTAGCAGATAAACTCTCTTGTTTCCAAGTACTTTTACCCGGATCTAAAAGCCACCAAAGTTTCAATTCGAAACGCGTACCCGATCCCGAGTAGTTCCCTAGTTAGATCATTAAAACACCAAAGTTTCAACTCGATCCGTGAATGCGAGTTCGCGTAGTTCCCTAGTCAGCTCAAAGCCAATTTTCGAGTCCTTATCGTAAGGTCTTATCCGGTTAGAAGAATGGAGTCTTGTTCTTTTTCTGTTATCCCATTGACTCCAAATTTTTTGAGAAACTTCAATGTGCCTCTTGTAACAGTACACACCCGCTTGCCTACTGACTTTTGGCCGTTCTGCTCAAAAACAAAAACTGATTTCGACCATCTGCGTACCGCAGTCAATTGGGTGCCACTACATTTTCGAGCGGCAGTTCATGTTAATTTTTTTTGATTAAATCCCTGTAAAAACTTTATAAAAAAAGAAATTGTGAGTTCCCGGTCTTTATTGACTATTGACAATTGACATATTGACAGCTCCTTCATTTTGTCGCAGTAATAATTCATCACCCTGTAAATTTTTCTTCAGAAATATTTTGAACCTCGAAAGGTCCTTTTCGATTTGTATTTCACATATTTCCCTTTATAATATAGTTTGTCCATGTTTTGAGTTTCAAGCAGCAATCTCTGCCCCCAAACAAAGCCTGTGAGTGGCTCGTTCTCTGATTGGTTTGATCTACACATAAGAGGCGGAGTTCGACCGATGACTTGACATTCAAATTCTGAACAAACTATAAACGCCGACTGTGGCTTTCTTCGGAAAAATAACATTCCAAAAATTAAAAAAACACATTATCACGTGAAAGGTAAATCAGTCTGACCAGTCTAGTGACCGCCTGGTATTATTATTGAAAAAGATGAATGCTGAATAATCAGTTATATCAACTTCAAATAATATGAAAGGACAAGATTTGATAACCGTGCGCATTTTCCTGTTGTTACAAAGAGAGCGCAATTTCCTGTACCAAATTTGAAAAAAGAGTGCGCATTTTCCTTATGCCGTGTTCAAAATAATTTCCGCGAAATGCGAAATGGTCTCTGACCCTCCAAAATTTAGTTATCTTTCTCTTTCTCTGACAGCTATTTTGAATTTCGCGGAATCACTTTGAACACGGCATTACGTGCGCACAGGCACAATTGTGCGAGGGCCGGCCCGTCACCCTCCCGGCCCCCCGACTATTTCGTTAGCCCGGTCCGGCCCGGCCTTAGCGGGCCTCAAGAAAAAATGGCCCGCCCGGCCCGAATCGCGCAATTTTTTTCTAGTCGGATATTAAGTTTTTTTACGACAAAAAAATTACGTTTTTTTGCTCATTTTTTTCTCAAAGTTTAACAAAAAAACTATGATTTCAGAAGTAAAAAGTCACATTTCGGTGGAAATTTTTTTAAATGAAATTGTAAATTTTTTGAAGCCCGGCCCGGCCTGAGCCCACGCGGGCTTTTTTTCCTGAAAAGCCCAAAGCCCGGCCTGACGCACAAGCCTGGAGCGCACGAGACTGGGATAAGTTTTAGAGGGCCCTATAGGGGGTGAATTAGGGCCCTTTGGAGGGGCCCCTAAATGAAACCCTATAGGGACCCCTACGAATTTTTTTTGGGGTCCCTTTAGGGGGGGGAGGGGCACGGAAAATTTCTGAAATAGCTCCGGGAGGAAATAGAGAAACCCTTATTGAATGCGAATCGTTAACACATCCGCAGTAAACTCATCTCATTGCGTTTGAAACTGTTTCCAAATTTATTGAAAGGAATTGAAAACATTAAAAGCAATCAGGATCATCAATGGGAACAGATAGACATAAGTAACAAAACAACGAGCAAAAAACTGAAGATATGTATACGTAACAGGATATTCGAGGAAGCAAAAAAACTTTTGGCCGTAAAAGACCCGTATAAATATTTGACACGTCTAAATCACTGCCAAAGGAAACCGTATTGATCAATCTAATAGAAGCTCTTCAAGACAATAAAGATACGCCTAAAGCATATTGATATAAGCGCTACTTGCGAAAAAATAGAAGAAAAACGCGTTGTGTCAAGGCAAATGGTTGGGCAACTTTCAATAAAAAACGTTGGGACTTCCGACACGGAAACGGTTGAAACTACTTACATAAGGGGCAAAAAGTTTGGCACATATAAAAAAGAACAATTGAACAGTGAGCAAAAAACAACCAACGTTGACATTTGAAAGCAACTTATTGAATTGCTCGGCCCGCGGTAATCTTCCGTTGATTCTGGTTCATGTGGCGGCTCAAAATTTCCGTCGGCTGATTCCGTGCTTCTACGATCATTTATCATTATCAACATTTTCGATATACCTTTCAGAATCTTCATCTCTGCTGTAGAACCAATGCGCATCAATAAAATCGCGACTCCGCGGCATCTTAATAAAAAATTAAGTCTTCTTTAACGAGCAATAATCAAATAGAATATATAAACACGCATTTACATCAAAAACCTCCAACAAACATCATCTACCGGTAAATTTCTGACGGTTTCACACACTCCAGTAGACCAATTATACATAGACAAAACTCTGAAAATACCAAAATAAAAAAAATACTCTGAACATATTTACATAAACCAATATATCAATTGTACATAAACGAAACACTGAAAATACTGAACCAATGTACAGATTGCCGTGTTAACTTTTTATGGAGCACAAAAAACGCACAAACCATTATAATACAATTTGAAACCATAACGAAAAAATCCTACTGACAACTCGTTCGTGAATAACGTATTACTTCCTTAAGCACCACAGAAATTGATGAAATATAAATACAAGTTATAAAGTTAAACTAAAACTGGGTCGACTGAGTCAACTCAAAACTTAGAAAATGAGAAAGATATTTTTAAAAAAAACCACTTTCGTTCCAAGGGGTCTTCGCGACCCCTTGAGGGTCTTGCAATTTTTAGGGAGCGATTTAGGACCCCCTATAGGGCCCCCTAATGCTATGGATAAATAGAAAAAAAGCTTGAGTTAAATAAAATACAGGCGACCTTTGAGCGTTGTAACTCAAAAGAGGAAAATAAGAGGAAGGACGAGGAGGAGAAAGGAAAAGGATATCACGAATGCGTGCTCCATGGATAATTCGCGCAACCCTTGCGCCTCTACGCGCAAGCTTGCGGCTAACATGTGCACATACTCGCGCAATTCACGGCGCAAGCATGCGAAATCCTCGCCGCAAAGTCGCGCCAGCCAGGGGAGCTAGAGTGGAAGGCAGAGGCGCGTCTGTGACCAGAGACGCAGAGGAAGGAGAGAATCTGCCAACATCAGACGCCGCTATTTAGTAACCAGGGACATTGCCTCAACTACAGTATACCTGTTCGGTTGAGCACTTTTTGCCCTCATATTCCATATTTTTTTACAGACCATTGTTTTTTTAATCGTTTTTTTCCTTTTTCCATATATTTGAACGGTTCACTGATGGCGTTTGCAATAATCGCCATTTTTCAGTAAAAAGTCAGAAAAAAAGAAGCTATTCTCGGATATCTTCCGGCAAACTTATATTCACACTTCAATCACGTTCAAAAAAAGTTTTTATTATTAGTTGGTAATGGTTATGGTTGAATTTGAGTGGGTTCATATAGTCTTTTTCAGATTTGGAGTGTAAAGTCATCGCTTAAACTCCACACCTTATGCGTATATCAAACCAATCAGAGAGAGAAAGAGAGAGTCATCCATAGAGAGCTTTTTAGGGACGGAGTTTGTTACTTTACTTTGGAAATCTAAACAGACTATAGGATGCAAATAATGGGCTTTTACTAATCAAATTTGGATTTGAAGTTTAGCTCTAAATTTCTCGATAAATCTTACAATATTGCATAAAAAAAACATAAATACTATGATTCGGATATAAAATTAATCGCTGTCGCTCGAAATTGATTGATTGAATTCGAAGATGCCATTTGAGCAAAGACACTTCCTTCTAGGCAGTTGTTCTGTACACAGCAAATGGGCCCAAAGTGCGCAGAACGTACACTTAAGCCATTCGATCATTTCAGTGTTACTTTCTCCGCAATCCTTCTGACCATGGTGAGATAAACTTTTTAGGTTCAGGAATTTTTTTCGAAATAAAACATTGAAACAAATAGCGCAGTGCGAGATCGCCGAATTTTTTTCACAAAAAAAGGTTTCTTCGCGTGTTTCGGAGCTCTTCGACGGATTACTTCCGACCTTTGTGAAAAAAATTTTTTTATATTGGATTTTTAAATTTTTACCTTGAGCAGATCAATCGGAAGGTCTCGTGGAGCGCTACCACCACGAATAAGTAGTTTTTTTCTCGACGAACAAGTATTTCTTGGAAATCAGTTGAAGGCGGGAGAGAAACAGAAGAAAGAAAACGTTGTTTCGTGTCAACCAACTCCGAATGTAGTGTTGCGAGAGTTTTTGTGATGTTCGGCTCTTCTCTCTTCGCAACTCTCATTATGATGTTTCTGAATTAGCGTAAGGATGCCTCATTGAACTTTTCCTAACCTGTCTTACAAGATTCAATTTTTTTGACTTGTCTTTCATTTTTATAGCCTCCAGCTTTTGTACATTATGTGCTGATACAAGATGCCGCACAAAGTTATCTTCTCTTTGCTCTTTTTGGCATTGCTCGACAGGACACCGCAATTTTACACGCATTCTTCTGGAGTAAAGTCGTTGTTTAAGCGATGACTTGACACTCCAAATCTGAACAGACTATATGAACCCACTCAAATTCAACCATTACTAACTAATAATAAAACTGTTTTGAACGTGGTTGAAGGGTGAATATAAGTTTGCCGGAAGATATCCGAGAACAGCTACTTTTTTCTGACTTTTACTGAAAATGGCGATTATTGCAAACGCCATCAGTGAACCGTTCAAATATATGGGAAAGGAAAAAAACGATTAAAAAAACAATGGTCTGTAAAAAAATATGGAATATGAGGCAAAAGTGCTCAACCGAACAGGTATACTGTAGTTGAGGCAATGTCCCTGGTTACTAAATAGCGGCGTCTGCCAACATCGCATTCTTGCATTAACCTTTGTGAATAGGGAAGAGTTCTTTTTTCGTCTGTAGTTCGCATTGTTTTCGTGATTTTCCAGCTATGATAATCATTGTTTTTATTTTATTTTTCAGTTCCACAACGATGGAAATAGGTTTGCTTCTCATTCTTCAAGATCAAGACGGATTATCCCATGGTCAGAAGCCAGTAACATTTACGGATGAGGTTTTTTAACAATCATATTCTAACTAACTTGAATGTTTATTTTAGACGACGATCAAGGAGTTGAGCAAAGCGATCAATTCCTTTATGTGTATTCATCAAGATTATCAAGAATTATACCATAACGGGAAGCAGATTATATCGCTAAATTCAACATTAAAACAAATTGGTGTGAAGGACGGCGACGAGATTCTGATCGTAAGTGTTTTTATTATTATTTTTGTTCATTTAGCATTACTAAGCCAAAATTATATTAACACGCATTCTCCCAGAAAATCAAACAAATGCGAAAAAGTTTTGTACAAAAATTTCATCTTTGTTCCTGAGAGCTCTTCTTGCTATCATAGATAGTGAACAACCTCTTGAACATTTAGAACCAGGTTTTATAAGGCTCCGCGCACTTTTAGGCTTACTGTAGAAAAAACACCGTAAAGACCAAACTTTTTTCCTAGTGGAGAAAATTGGTCCAAACCAATTTTAAAACAAAATATGTTCTCTTTTGACCATTTATAGTTATAGAACTGACCCGGAAAAAAATTTTTTTCTTTCAGAAGAGAAAAATTCAAGTTTTTTGAAAAATGACGATTTTCGCAGTCTTTGAGTCATAACTAGTACTAGAACCACCGAACGCCTGGATTTTTATTTTTTCAATCGACGCGTTAGGGTCTTGTGAGTAGAGGAAAAAAATGCCTAGAAACTCTGAATCCGGGTGATCCAGTTGACCTCCTTCTCGAAGAACGCGGCCAACTTGAAAAATCGCAAAACCTTTGAAAAATTTCTATTTTTTTGTGAAAGCCGGATTCCGTCTTGTTTTTTATTTTCGTTCAACATAACACAGCTTGCTGCGAAATTACAGCTCAAAAAGTAGCGAGCTGGAACCCTTTGAAAAAAAATTTCTGACGTTTTTCTGATTTTTCGTTTTTTCGGCATTTTCAAACTTTTCGCTCTAACTAGTACTAGAACCCCCGAATGCCTGGATTTTTATTTCTTTAATTGACGCGTTAGGGTCTTGTGAGTAGAGAAAAAATGTCTAGAATCTCTGAATCCGGGTGATCCAGTTGACCTCCATCTCGGAGAACGCGGCCAACTTGAAAATGATTAAATTTTTGAAAATCAGTTACTTTCTTGGGAGCAGGACCTTCCCTCACTTCTTTTTGCCAATCAGACACAATCCACTCAACACAAAATTTGAACAAAAAGTTATGACTCTCAAGCATGACCAAAAATCCAATTTTTTTCACTTTCTCGGATTCATCTGTCCTTTTCCAATTATTGAGCTCTACTGGATTAGGATACCAGGAATGCTTAGAGTTTTTTCGTTGTACTGATCCGTTACATCTTCTCAAGTTCTTTAAAAATATTCCCAGGCTCTGTTTCCGGGTGATCCAGTTGACCTCCAAGCAACCAAAGCGGTCGACCTCGAAATCGAGCAAAATTAAAAAAATTTTCCAAACCGTTTTTTTTTGCTTCCTAACCAGTAGTTCTCATCATCTGGAGAGTTTTCAGTGTAGTTTCCACCAATTGCTAGCGTCAATTTTTTTATTTTTAGCTCATTTTTTTATTTTTTTGTCAGAATTTTTTTAAAAATTTTTCGACGGGAGGCAGCCCCAGCAATACCCCCTGTCTGTCGAATAATATGTAATTCCCTGGTATTATGCCTAAAAAAAGTTCCAACTTACGTAAAAGACACTACTTACGAAAAAAATAGTGACTACAATTTTTGTGAAAAAGTAAGAATCTTGTTTATCGATACCAATTGTTTGACTAGCTTTTTCAAGACGAATCTTTTTCCTATTTTTCGAGGTTGAACAAAATTTCTCATACAGAAAAAGACAAAACTATTTCAACCGAAAAGAATCAAAAAAATTTTTAAAAAAATACTGACAAGGGGAATGTTTTTTTGGTGGCCGGTTGAACTTGTGTTGAAACTTTGCTGAAAGGTACTATTAGACTTCCTCTTTCCAGAACACGAATAAAATTTCTCGCAATAGATCTCGTTTTTGAGTTATGAAGCTTCAAAGTTTGCACGCTGAATAAGAGCTGCAACGCAAGAGGGAATGTGCCTCGCGTACGAGCCCTGCACCACAGTTGGCAGCGTGGTGCAGTGGCTAGCGTCCTTGCACTGTGGTGTCTATGACCGGGGTTCGAAACTTTTTGAAGAAATTGGTTTTTGCCAGTTTTTCTAGGAAGAATTCATCGACATCGGGAAAATGGACCAAAAATTTTTGTCCAAAAGAAGATGGCTTCTCATTTCACTCGATTTACCAAGACTTTCGACAAACATTTTCTCTCGGCCCATAGGCTAGAGGAGACTTGCTCCTCTTCCTGTGGCGTAAATTTTTTCATTTCATTCCTTCTGAATTATCAACTGGACTGAAACGCTGATCAAATTATTTTGGACAAAAAGTTTTTTCCGAGAAAGTGAAAAATTACTTACTTACTTTGATACTTTGATGGTCCATCTTCGCTGATGTTCTCAGCGTGGACCACACGTTCTCCAGGCGGCTCGGTCTTGCGCGACGGTCATCCAGTGGCGGCCTGGCTGACTGATGTTCTTGCGGAAGTAGTCCGTCCATCTGAGTCGGTGGGCGCCCGAGTGGGCGCTTGATGTTTCTCGGAATCCAGTGTGTTAATCTCGTGGACCAGCGGTCGTCTTGTCTGCGGATGACGTGGCCGCCCCAACGATGTTTCCCGCGTTGTATGTGCTCTTCTAGATCCCGGATTTGGGATAGTTGACGGAGGTCTGTGCTCCTCTGTTCTTTTTCCACTGCTCGAAGCGAGTGGTGCTGATGAGAGCACGTTCCAGTGCGCGGTAGGAAGTTCGTAGGGCGGTTGCATTTTTTTCTTCGTGTCAGGCCAAACTTCGGTACCGTTGGAGATGGCAGGGATTATCGACGCTTCGAAGATGTGAGCTCGCAGTTTCGGGTTTTTTTCAGCTGACTGGTGACTTCTTTGATGGAGTTGAAGGCGGCCCATCCAGCGCGTTTGCGTCTGCCGATCTCTGCTTGCAGGTCGTTCACCATGTTTACTTCCCGGCCAAGGTAGATGTAGGATGTGACCTCCTGAAGGTCGCGGCCCTCAAAGGGTGACTTTGTCTTGGTCGCAGAAGCGGTTCTTCATCCACTGCGTCTTCTTGACGTTCATCTTAAGGCCGATCTTCTTGCCGACTTCGTCCAGATCGTTCAGCATGGAGGACAGTTCGGTGGTGGAGCTTGAGAAGAGTACGATGTCGTCGGCGAAGCGGAGGTTTGTGAGGACCTTGCCGTCGATGTTGATGCCTCTGATGTCTGTACTGTCTTCCCAGTCGTGCTCTTCGTCCCATCCAAGTTGGCGCATCGCGTCTTCTAGTGCCGTGGAGAACAACTTGGGGAGATGGTATCTCCCTGGCGAACACCTTTCCTGATGGGGATCGAAAGCTTCTTGTCGAACAGCTGGATGGTCGTGGACGTTCCCTCGTTGCTGTTGGCGATCAGCTCGACGTACTTCGTGGCGACTCCGGCGGAGGCAAGAGCATTCAAGACGGCGTTGATCTCCACGCTGTCGAAGGCCTTGTAGTAGTCGACGAAGGCCAACGCAAGGGGCATCTGGTGCTCCCGGTGCCGTTCCACCACCTGGGTCAAGGCGTGGATGTGGTCGAGGCAAGAATAGTTGCGTCGGAAGCCAGCCTGCGAGGGCGGTTGGAAGTTGTCGAGTTGCTTCTCTAGTCTGTTGACGATGACCTTGGTGAACAACTTGTAGACGACCGATAAGAGGGAGATCGGTCTGAAGTTGTTCAGGTCGGTGAGGTCGCCCTTCTTCGGAATGAGGATCGTCTTGGACGTTTTCCATTGTTCAGGAATAGAGGCTTCGCTCAGGTACTTGGAGAAGTGCCGGGGAAGTAGTCGGTACCGCGAGTCTCCTCCAGCCTTCAGCAGTTCGGATGAGATGTTGTCGGGTCCTGCGGCCGTTCCGACCTTCAGCTTCCTGATGGCGTACTTGACTTCTTCGGGAAGGATCGGGGTTCATCTTCTGGTGGCGGCGTTGGTGTTCTGGGGACGGGAACGTCGCTTCGGAAGAGTTTCGTGTAGAAGTCGACCGTCAGGCGCTCCATCTCGTTCCTTGACGTCTTCAGCTGGCCGTTCTCGTCCTTCAGTGCTGTCATCACCGTTCGCTCGTCGACGAGCTCGAACTTCTTCTTCTTGAGGCTTTGACGTTTCTCAGCTGTCTGAAGAAGTGCACTCCTGCGTCGGTTGGCTTGAGACTCTTGCACGGCCATTCTGCAGGCTTTGTCGATCGTCAGACGTTCTAGGTGCGTGGCCTGCGGGTCTCGTTTGACTTCTCCTCTTCTTCGCAGCAGATCTTTCGCTCGTTGGTCGAGTCGCGGCGGTAGAGACGAGGTTGGTCGAGCTGCAGGTTCTGCACATCTGATGAGGTCATCGCAGAGGGATTCGTAGTCGGCTGTCGGGTCGTCGAGAAGCTGCCAGTCGTGCTCCGAGATCTTCTCCTCCAACGTGGTGATGTCGTAGGTTGGTCTTCTCGGTCTCGATGGCTGGTGGTAGTCTTTCTTCAGGAACTTCTGGTTCAGACGGACCTTGGCGCGAACGAGTCGATGGTCGGATCCAACGTCGAAACTGGGTAGTACGGCAACGTCGAGGAGAGACCATTTCCGGTTGGCCAGAATGTGGTCGATCTCGTTGGTGGTGTCTCCGTTGGGCGATTTCCAGGTCCAGCGTCTCTGATCAGGCTTCTCGAAGAGAGAGTTGCCGTGGTAGAGCCTTCTGGAGTCGAGAAGTTCGGCTAGGCGTTCTCCGTTGTCGTTCCGAATTCCGAGTCCGTGCTTCCCGTAACGAATCGAGGGAGTGGCGCACTTGCCCATCTTCGCGTTGAAGTCACCCAGAACGAAGATGTAGTACGCCTTCTCTCGTTGGATCGTTTCCTCGAGCTTCCGGTAGAAATCGTCAAGTTCCTTTTCCTTCTCTTCCCTTTTAGCCTTAGATTCGGCTTCTGGTGAGGTCGGCGAGTAGACGTTGATGATGGTGAGTCTTCCTCGTTTTCCTAGGTTGAGTCGGAGGATGCCGAGGCGGGCGTTGACGATTTCGTGCGAGTCGACGAGGTGTTGGACCTGGCGATTGACGAGGAAACCGACGCCGCCGACGTTCTTCCCAGGGACTTTGTGGCCGAGGATGAGAAGTTCACCGTTTGGCCAAGTCTTACAGCTGGTGTCTTGAGATTTCCCTCTACTCACAAGACCCTAACGCGTCGATTAAAGAAATAAAAATCCAGGCATTCGGAGGTTCTAGTACTAGTTAGAGTTTGAAAATGCCGAAAAAACGAAAAATCAGAAAAACGTCAGAAATTTTTTTTCAAAGGGTTCCAGCTCGCTACTTTTGAGCTGTAATTTCGCAGCAAGCTGTGTTATGTTGAACGAAAATAAAAAACAAGACGGAATCCGGCTTTCACAAAAAATAGAAATTTTCAAAGGTTTTGCGATTTTCAAGTTGGCCGCGTTCTTCGAGAAGGAGGTCAACTGGATCACCCGGATTCAGAGTTTCTCGGCATTTTTCCTCTACTCACAAGACCCTAACGCGTCGATTGAAAAAATAAAAATCCAGGCATTCGGGGGTTCTGGTACTAGTTATGACTCAAAGACTGCGAAAATCGTCATTTTTTTCAAAAAAAACTGGAATTTTTTCTCTTCTGAAAGAAAAAAATTTTTTTCCGGGTCAGTTCTATAACTATAAATGGTCAAAAGAGAACATATTTTGTTTTTAAAATTGGTTTGGATCAATTTTCAATTGGAAATTAGGGACCGCAAAAGCCACGCCCCTTTTCGCGATAGAAAAAAAGTGGCTTTTTTTTTGGGTTTTCAACTTTCATTTTGCTGTAGTTGCAAAATATGTGGAACTGGATAATAAATTTTGGCACACATGTACAGAAAAGCTTCCTCTTTCGTTTAAAAAATATTTCACGCTTTTTTGATGCGTTCGCGCGGAATGTCGTACAAAAACGGGAATGCAACTAAAAAAATTTTGTCGTTTTTTTGCTTTTTTTCATGTGTTTTTCAGGTCGAACGCACTCTTTCTTTTTTTAAATAATGATTTTTGATTCAAGTAACGGTAATTTTAAAACAATAAAATAAAAAAATTCGTCTTTGCCAAAAAAATTTTTAGGGAGTGCCGAAAGTCATAATTCAAAATATAGTTAATAAGCGAGAATAATCGATTTTTTGTTTTGTCAAAATTTAGATCATGTGCTTACTTAAATTTTTCTTCACAGCATATGTGCTTGAAAAAAAGTTGTTTAATACGCAAAAAAATGCTCTTGAAACTAGAGAATAAAATTAGCGGCGTTTATCACACAGAAAGCGGTCGAACGCAGGTTTTTTTAAACGATTACAAGCATTTATTAGTAAAAAAATCTTTCAATTAAAAAGAATAAAATAAAAAAATTCGTCTTTGCCAAAAAAATTTACGGGGGCCGTTTTAATGCAGCGATCGTTTAACGAGGCAAAAAGCACTAAAAAAACAGCTTTTTCGAAGTGAATTTCCACGAAACGTTTGAGTAAAGATTTGCGAACATATTCTGATAAAAATAGCTTAATTACTTCAAGTTTTTATTTTTGAAATAGGCAATCTGTGCTATCCAAACGGCTCAAGGGTATGGCGGGTGGAAGCTCCCCTCCCTAGACTTAACAGCTTGGCGCAGCGCGTGCGCTGCGATTTTTCATTTTGAGGTCGCGAGTTCGATACCCGCAAGCGTCGGTTTTTTGTTTTCTAGAAAATAACGACTTTTTCGGCAAACTAGCTGATGAGCGTCATTTTAGCACTCTATTATGATTTCTTACATCATAATAGACCAGTATCAAAAAAATTGTTCTAGAAGAAAAAAATCGAGAAAAAAATGTCAAAAATGGATAATACCAAAATTTCAGTACTAAAAAAATGGTGCGCGGCGCGCCACATTTTTCGTCATAACTTTTTTCAACCTCAATCTTTTTTGAAAAACTAAACGGTTCTGAGTTTTAAATCGAAACAGCTATCAAACCATACAAAACTCGATGCTGAAAAAAAATTTTTGAAAATTCGTCTGCGGTCCCTAATTGGAAATACGTAGATCTTTTCATGGGTAAACTTAGGTGGTATGAAAAAAACACCAGCGAAAATTCAAACGGCGACTTTTCCGATTTTTTCATATCGCTAGGGAACTTTCCGACGGACACCTTTCCGACGAATCTTTTTCCGACTTTTTTTCTCGATAAACTTTTCGTTTTAAATCTCCCTATATAAAGTAGGTAGTTGGTTAATGATTAAAACACAAAGAAATAGAAAAAAAAACAATGTTTATAGATTTTTTATAAACCGAAAAAATTAAGGGAAAAAAGTCGGAAAGGGATCCGTCGGAAAGGTGGCCGTCGGAAAGTTCCCTAGCGATATGAAAAAATCGGAAAAGTCGCCGTTTGAATTTTTGCTGGTGGTTTTTTTATACCACCTAAACTTAACGATTTTTGAGGTTCAAAATAGTTTTAAACCATTATTAATTAGCTAAGTAATTGAAGTAATTAACTATATAACTTCTTTAGAAGCATTCACATCTCGGTCAATGGAACGCATATATCAATCGTGTTGAAGAATTCAAGAATGCACAGGTCAACGAGACAAGAAAAATTTCTGCTGAGAATGCTCAACGATTTTATGATATGCTCTTTGAATCTTCATTCTTCATTGTTTACCCCAACTTCGATATCGCAGTCACTAAGCACCACAAACCAATCAGCAAGTATTTGGATAAGCACACCCGTTGGATACAGAATGCTGCAAGAAACTTTTTCGCATTGTCCATGTTCAAAGGGCTAAATCCAGCAATTGAATTCGAAGAAACAAACGATAGAACGCGTTCAGCAGTGATTTGCAAGGTCATAGTGAATTCGATTACCCACAAATATCGAATTAAAACCAACCACAACGCCGGAGAAAGTGGCCAAGGTAATGTTGTTTTTTTCAAATTTTATTTTCAAATTTGATTCTGTTTCAGCCAGCCGTTGGAACCTCGATCTCATCGAGCTTTATGTTTATAAACTTCTCGAGTCTATCGGATTGGGTCCTAAAATTGTGTTCATTCCGAATTGTGTTGCATCCACATCAATATTATATATTGGAAGCGAGTGGTTGGCCCATTTTCAATCCTTCAACTCGACTGAACAAGGTTAGTTTGGTATAATCCGACGTTACCAACATGTTTGATTTTCAGCATAAAAGTATAATCATTCGATCCGTCTCGTCGAGATACGTACGAATATCATAAAATTATTTGGCGCTGACCACTAAGAAAAATTTTAAGATGAACTTTATTAGTTTTTCAATCAAGTAATTATTTTTGAGGAATAGAAGTTTTTGCTTTTTTTCTTTTAATGATTTACTTAAGAAAATAGGCTTAGTTTTTAAGGCTTCACACGGAGGCGGAGCGCGCATAGCGCGAAGCCGACTGTGGCTCGCTTCGAAAAAAAACTGAGCCACAGTGAAAAATTCGTCAAATAAATGAAATAGCTGACATAAAAAAAGCATGTAGTTTCAAAACGTGGACACCAAAAAAACACTATTAGGTAGCTCTAAACGATTTGCAAACTTGATACGCGTAGTAAAAAATCTGTAAACATTTTTCCTTTCTTTTTTTGCATTGTTTTTTTCGAATAATTTTCAAATTTTTTCCTATTTTAAAAGATTTTTTCTTCTCATGGCGTAGTAGCGATAGTTGAATTGAATCAGCGTCGAGAAATGCAGTAAAATTTTTTTGAAATTTTTTTGAAATTTTTTTCTGGCTTTTTGCACACCATAAAGTTATTTCTTCTTACTAGCGCCAAATAATTTTTATGATATTCGTACGTATCTCGACGAGACGGATCGAATGGTTATACTTTCATGCTGAAAATCAAACATGTTGGTAACGTCGGATTATTCCGTTAGTTTTTCAACAGTATTTCGATGTACGTAATGCCATTTTTTTAGTTACCACGACTGAAGTCTCGCATGCTGTCGTTCAAATCCATTTCTTGGCCGTTTTCCTCTCACTTGGCGACATGCACGAAGAAAATTTCGGAATCAATGCAAGCTCAGATCCAATAATATTGGATTTCATGATGTCTTTTTATGGGGTCCCCAAGCAAAAATTCTTACACGAAAACAATATAATTCGTTCAATCAGAGCACGCAATATATTAGAAAATTGTGATTCTACTGTTAGACTTCAAATTGCTAAAGATGCTATTCGGAATTGGAATCTTATGGACAAGTTGTGTGAGGTTCTAGAATTGATGAACAAAGAAAAGGAGAATTTCGGCAGAAACAAGTTGGATTTTGACAAGAAGACACGGGATTTGGAGGAGTTTGTCGAAAACGTGAGATTAAATATCCAGGATCTGTATCATTCGAAACTGTAGCCCCGTCCACACTTTTGTACTATTTATTATCGATGGAACTATCATTTTTTAAGTACCGGATAAATCTATTATTCGCTTAACTCCCAATGCAACACAAATACAACAAATATGCACTTCATTTTCTCCAATTCCTTCAATAGAATCGTGCGTAGTTTTTTCACCTTATGGATCAGTAAATATATTAAAAAATGGGTATCCAAAGTAAAATGTGAATTTATGGACAAATTTTAGGAAAAGTGAAATTTTCCAAGTCAATCTTTGTTGGGAAAGAATAGTAGACTTTTTGGAAACTCGATTTTTTTCCAAACCTTTCTTGGTACTTTTTTTCGTAAAATACCTGGTTTTTACTGCTTTATCTTTTTGCTAGTCGCCTGCTCGTTTTGGGATTTAATAATGTGAACAATTAATAATAGTAATTTTGAAAACAAGATTTTTTTGTTAGCTTTAAAGTAATTGGAAGCTAGTACGAAATGACTTGAAATTTGAAAATTCGAAAAAAAAACAGGTCAACTAGTTGTCTCAAAAAAAAAAACGAAAAATTCAGAAATTTCCCTTCCCCGCTACTGGACTTCTTTAATACCGAAGCTGTGCTTTTTTTGTTCCCAACAGAAAAAAAGTTAATTTTTCATTCGTAGCACCAGTTATAAAAAGACAAGAAAGGTTTAATAAATTTCTGAAAAAAATCAAAAAAATCAAGAAAGCTTGGACAAAATGAAAGATTATTGGCTTGGAAAGGAAAACTTGTCACGGTGGTTCAAAAAAATATTTGGTGGAAGAATCATAGAAAATTTAATAAAAAAATAAAGTCCCTGAGGCAGCATTCATAGGAAAAAAAGGTTCATTCATAAAAAAACAGGCTTATTTAAATTTTTCTTCATTTTTTTAAAGGCGCATAGCAATTTCTTGAAAAAAGCCATGCGCCTTTAAAGCTTTTATGAACGAACTATTTAAAAAAAGATGATATGGCAAGGTTTTTGAAAGAAATAAGGCACAATTTAAAAAGGTTAAAAGTTTAGAAATTGATTTTTTCGAATGAGAAAAGATAGAAATTGAAAAATAGAAGGTTTTACACAGAAAAAGATTGGCTTAGGAAAATGAGCGAAGGAGAAATATTTTGAAAATTTGGTTTTCCAAAGATTTTCACTCAAAAAAAGATAGAAAAAAGCTTCAGAAATGCATTTTTCAGTCATTTTTCAAGCCACCTCAATTTCCAAAACCATTTTTTTTGAATAGAAATAAACTTCTTAGGCTTGATATTATCAAAAAAAAAATTGGAAAGGCTTTTGTCGAGTTTCTAATTTTCCGAAGAATCTTGAAAAAAAAAATGAATAAATAGGCAAGAGACGAGAGATCAAGAAGCTCTGAAGAGAAACCAGAGAAACTAGAGTGTCTCTCATTGTCTAGTGTCTCTTCAAGACTCGTGATCTCTCGCTTCCCCTTTTTCAGCCTAATTTTAGATTCCGAAACCTCAAAAGTCTTCCCACGAGATATATAAAAGAAAAAGGAAGCTCATTATCGCATATGGGTTTGACCACCGTACATAGGACCTGGGTAGAACATGTAAGGCTGTGGCTGGACGTAGGGTCGCCAGTGACGATCGGATTCGTCGTAGTAGGTCGCCGGCGCGGCCCTGGCCACCATCGGACTTCGGCCCTGCGCCGGCGCCGATTGTTGGCGTCCGTAGCGCGAGGGCGATGTTGACCTCGAGGAGGACATCGTCACGCGCTGGAAGTTCTTGAGATTAGTTTTGAGTCAGACTCAATGGGAATGATCCTAGTAGTATAGCTGATTCCTAACTGGCTTGAGCCATCGAAAAAAGGTCCTGGCACGAGGGAAAATAGAAAGTGCCTAGTTGGTAGAGAGCGCAGAAAGGCCACGCCCCTTCGTTCCCAAGCTGGCCGTTAATCGACTATAGAAGCGTGTTTTTCCGTTCCTACTGGTCTCGAAAGTCGTATTTAGACATTTTTCCTTCAAATGTCTCTCCCAAGCTCATTCGCATCCTCTGTGGCTCGACTCGACAAGGGTCAGACTAACCGGACCAGGAGGAGCTTTGTATATGTTGCAATCAGTTAAGAGTTCGACTCAACAAGGATAGTTCAGCCATTAAAAGGTTGTTCTGTTTTTCTAAGGAGATTATGGCTTTTCTCATGCTTTTACCTAGATCAATCTACGCTCCTTGACAGGCGAGTCGAGAAGGTACCATAATGTGTCCACAAAGGTACCTCTCCAAATGGATCGTGAAGACACCATAATGTGTCCTCGTGAAACCTCCGCCATACCTTTTAGCTATACCTGAGCCATCTCGGAGTATCTCTCAAGCCCCTCACATTTTACTCAAAATCAGAGGTATACTCGAGGTACCATCGTGAGACTTCAGAGTCTGTGATATACCTCAGAGACCCTTTCTCGATTCGCCTATGTTCCCCTTCAAATGTATCTCGACAGCTTCTCAAGTTCGAGTCGGATTAGGAGGAGCCTTGTATATGTTTAAAATAGTCAGTAGTTAGACTCAATAAGGATAGTTCAAGTAGTAAGTATTGCTATGTTCTTCGAGGAAGATTTTCTATGCTTTTACCCAGATCATTTGGACTTCCTCCCCGTAAAATCTCTCCCAGAAACTTCTCAAGTTCGATAAGAAAATAATAAGACTGACCGGACTAGGAGATGCCTTGTATATATCGTAATTAGTCAGGAGTCCGACTCAATTAGGATAGTTCAGCCATTAAAAGGTTGCTCTGTTTTTCTAAGGGGATTACGGCGTTTACCTAGATCAATCTAGACTTCTTCTCATTCAAATTTATCTCTAAAATTTATTAAAAGTTCAAGTGACCAGGTAAGTCGAAGACTAATCGGAACATAGATGGGCAAAGATCTCATTCAGCCCGGGAGAAGGGGTTGGCTTATAACCATTTAAAAAATCAAGGAGGTAGTTTCGACCACACTAATACAGGTTATAGCCTTAGGGAGGTAGTATTAACATTCAGTCTGTATCTACCACGGAAAACAAACACGTAGAGAACATTTGAATTATCCTTAACAACTCGGACTCATAATCATAACTAATCTCAACATCTACGAGGCACCTCCTAGTCCGGCTGATACATGAGCAGACCTTTTTAAGGAACAGAGGTTGGTGTTCTTTAGAAAGGTCTGCTCCTGTATCAGCCGGACCAGGATATGCCTCGTAGATGTTGAGATTAGTTATGACTGAGTCCGAGGCGAATTCAAATGTTTTCTACGTCTTTATTTTCCGTGCATGATACAGATTGTTCAGCCAGACCATTCTGGACTTTCTCTTCTTCAAATTTCTCGAAGTTTTTCCAAGTTCAATGTAGTGAGACACAGTTAAGACCTACCGGACTAGGCGGCGCCTCGTAGATCTCGCTGTCCCTCGACGCGGCTCTCCTCGGCCGTCGTCGCTTGGACTCGCTTCGGATGTGCTTCGGCGTCGTCGCCGCCGTCGGCATGTCTGTTGGCGCTACTGAGTTCTGAAAGGTTTTTATTTGGTCAAGCTCGTCAATGATAAGGGCTCTTGTTAACGTCTGTCTCTTTTGAAGGAGGAAGGTTGCTCACCTCACTGTGTCTCCTGACTCGTCTCGACCTTCTGGTTCCGTCGCGCTGACCATAGTCACCATGGTGACCGTACATGGCGTTGGATGGTGGTCCGGCTGGAATAATTTTTCTTGAAATTTGGAGAAAAAGAACTCGTCTCAAAGGGTTAGTCGGTTCAGTAGGTGCTTATATTCAACTAATAGGCTTATTCTGAAGTCAGGATGAAGTATGAACTTTTCAAAGCGAGTTTCATTTATGGCCACCCAGTCGGAAAATGGGAAAACCAACCAATAGCCAAATAATGAGGTGGCGCTGGGTTGATGATCGTCTTCGGTACGGAATAGGTGTAGGATGGGTGTTGGTAGATCCTAAAATTTCTTCTCTTGTTTATAATTTGATCTGAGGCTTCATTCAAGAAGCTTGAAGTCTTTTAGCGGTTTACAAAGAGAACTCTTCGAACTTCATAGAAATTCTGAGGCTTCTCAAGCTTCTGGCTATCAGAATTTATTCAGATATCAACCAACCCCTCGGCGGGATGGATAGCTCGGCCTCCAGTTGGAATGTAGTAGATTGAAGAGTCGTCATCCATGTCGCAGCAGCACTCGGCGCAGTTCAGCGAGGAGCATCCCAGGGAGAAATGCTCGGACAGTAGGAGCATCAGGCTGAAAAGCGTAAGAAATAATCGTCACGAATCAGTTCATAAGGAAGGTTCTACTTTGGGTGATGAGAGTACTTTTAGAAGTACCGGGCAAAGATCTAGAAAGTCTCAACCTCTAGTTTTCGAGAAAGGACAGTCAGGTAACCTAACAAAATCCGTTGATTTTGAGACATTCAACCCTCGTTTCTGGCACGCCGTAGCGCAACACGTTGTGTTCCTGTCTATGGTTCGAAGGATCACAAGTTCAATCCCCGGGGCGAGTTTAAGAAATGTTGGTGTATAAAACCATCACTGCTGTCACCCATGAGGACGAATATGTCACTAGAGTCAGTCTAGCGATTACCACTGACATCAAGGACATGCCATATCAACTGGACGCTCAAGCGGTAAAGGCTTAGGAGCCCTCTTTTCTCGATAACTAGAAAGTTGTGCAGATTGAGACAAGGAGCTTTCTGCTCAGTTCGAAGGAAAAGTTATTCCTTTTGAAAGTCAATAAAGGATCATCAGGCTACTAGTCTTGACTGAGATTAATATTCGAAAAGTCACTTGGGCAGGAAGAAAAGGTAGTGGATCAAGGTGGCGGAGGCGTTGAGGACGAGTATCTTCCAGATGTGGCTAACTATGGGAGCGTCAACGGCGAACATCGGAAGGTAGGTGACGACCGGGACGATGCAGGCGAAGACAACTGGGACTAGGGTTGCCTGAAAGGAGGTTTCAGTTTGGTATGGGGTTTTGTAGATGATCTAACCCAGAGAGAGAGAGAACTATTGGCGTTCAGATTTAGAATCGTTTGAAGACCTTTTCTAAGGTCCTGAGTTCATACTATTGGCCCTTAGTATGTTTAAAAATGAACGATCTGAATTCTCAACATTCATCCTTATGGGTTTAGAACGGTCAAAAAGTATTGAAGTTGAGTCGGTAATTCTAAAACTGCTAGCTCTAAATCGCCTATAGAAGATTAGAGATTAGGTTGGTAGTTCCAAGATTTTTGTGAGAACTTATTGGAAGGCTCTATAAGGTGGTACCTTTGCTACAGGTCTACTAAGAGTCCTTTTTTTAAATCAAGGTCGAATTTTGAAGTACCTGGAAAGTGTACTGAATTCGAACGCCGGCGCGAATTTGCGACCGTCCTGACATAGAGTAGCTGTAGCAGAACGCCATGACAATGGTGCAAGTCAAGGCGTTTCCTGGAAAGTCTTGAATTATTTCCGAAGAGGAAAATTTTTTCAAAGGAAAGACATTGGTAACTACAAAATTTCCCCTTCAAACCTGCCAAAGCCATGGTCAAGGTGATGACGTTCAATGGAACTCCCCAGTGGACCGCATAGCCAACCGTTTCGATCAGAACTGAAAATGGGAATAAGTGTCAATTTTGAGCTGGATTGAATACCAGCGATTGAAGTGAACAGAAGGAGGAAAGTCAGGGCTGGTTGTCCCAAGAAGATTAAAGATAGGACGAATAGGGATACCAAGGCGATGCCGAACGCGTAGAGGCCGGAGGACAAGGTCTGGAAATGGAGGAAGGTCAAGCCTGTTTTGGTTTTTATAACCCAAATTTTAAAAAAATGGTTAATTTTCCAGTTTGACCGACTGGTTGAGAGAACAGGAAATGGGTCAGGAAATAAAAAAAGAATGAAATTTCCGGGGTTCAAAAATTAAGAGTGTCGTTTCACTGGAGTTTTGGTAGGACAGAGTATATAATAAAGTACCCCAAGGTCATGCCGAAGGGACATCGAAGCCGGAACGCTGACCGAAATCGGCAAGCCTTTTTCGGCGGCTCTGCTCAGCAGTTGGTCCACCAAGGCGACTCTAAACCGTTTTGAGAGATTTAAATGATTTTCAATGAATTTCTACCTTTGCGAGTAGCCTTTCGGCGTCAACTCGAGGTACATCCGCGACTTGACAATGTCGTTTTGATATCGGTCCAGGGAGATGTCCGACGCAAACTTTCGATAGGGTTCGGAACGCAAGAAAATCAAGTTGGCCACTGGGACGAAGGTGTCCTGAGAAATTGAATTTATCATTGCTCATGTTGTGGTAATTCTAATTTCGCGAATAGTGTGGCTTTTCTGACTGAAGCTTGAACGGATAATTTCTCATCTTGGCTCATTATTGCTAATGTTATGTAAGCTTCGGAAAGGAGCATGAAACTACTGAATTTTTTTTTTAAAGACTATGACTTTAATAGTCTCATCTTACCTCTTTATTGCTCATTTTAGATAACTTCTGGGCAAAAGTTTGGGACCTCAAGGTTTTTTTAATGAATACTAGAGCTTCAGAGGATAATTTCTCATCTTGGCTCATTATTACTCAGATTACCCACCGGTGGGATGCCATGGATGCTCACTTTGAGATCTTGTTGAGCTTCAGAGGATAATTTCTCATCTTGGCTCATTATTGCTAATGTTAAACAACCTATAGGAAAAAGTTTCAGATCAGGGAAATTTTAGTATTTCAAAGCTCATTATTGCTCAGATTACCCACCGGTGTGATGTCATAAATGCTGGTTTGCTGGAATTTGACAAATTCCGAGAGCCAACTGATCGACCGAGTAGCGTAGCCATCGCTCTGAATTCGAAATTTTCATTTCTCGTCCAAAAAAGGAAAAACTACCACAGCCGTGTCGAGGAGGTCGAAAATGGCCGCCTGGGTGGACTCGTTGTGGTATTCGATCAAATTTTCGATCGATAACTGGAAAAAAAAATCGATTTTAAGTAGGGTTCGGTTGTATAGGTTTACCGTAACGACTTGAAAGAGTCTGACCTGTCTGCGCTCTCTTTTCTCTCACTCGCGAGGTTATAGAAAAAAGACAACAGAACTTTAACATGAGAGAATCACAGAACAATCAAATTTTTCCAAGTTGTGTTATAAAGTTCATGAAGAACCTCCAAAAATTGAGTCGTCTTGCCGAACTGCTCCCGGTATTGCTCGATGAACTTGGTAGCACTGGAAGCTCTCGGCAAGAAGTCCTCCTCCTTGATGTCGATCCTGGAATTGTCATTCTAGGTAATCTTTCAGTTTTCAAAAAAAAGCAGAAATCCCAGAATTTTGGAAAAACTTTCCTTTGTTTTATTTTTCCAGTTCCAGTTCATTTTAATTCTATATTTCAATGAATTCAGCTCCTCCTGTTCCTCGTTGACTCTATCTGTTACTGGTAAAATTTTTAGTGGCCACTACAGGGTTTTGACGTTTGAGTGGCCACTATAGTAGTCAAATTAGTCGACACTTAAGGGGTTGAATATTAGTGGTCACTATAGAGGTCTAAGTGGTACTACTAGACCACTAAAAACTTTAGTGGCCACTTTAGGGGTCCATGGATCAACATAACTGGTCCAATCTGTTCGTTTTAAAATTATCATAGTTACTCGAAGGGACACTGGATGAAAAACTACTGAAGTGGCCACTAAATGGAGAACCTCTATAGTGGCCACTGAAACGGAAAATAGTGGCCACTATAGAGGTGGGTTTAGTGGCCACTTCAGTGTCCTCTCTAAGTAGTCCTTGGCGAGCCTCTATAGTGGCCACTAAAAGTTTTTGAGACAAGAAAGCGAGGAGTTTTTCTCTGGGTGAAGTAAGAAGCCCTCGTCTTCTCCAGCCAGCTTTGTTTCTAACGAGTTTTTTTTTCTAATGGCCACAAAAATTAGCTCTTCGTTTCTCTCTCACCCAACTATTACTTGAAAAAGTCGCGTTTGATTCAAGAAGAAGAAAATCACAACGAACCTCATATTGGTGCAGCCCCAGACGGCGAAGATCAAGTAGGCGGTGCAGAAAAAGACGATCGGATATCTCATGGATCTGGCGATGAGTTTGCAGCCCACGGCCCTGGTGGCTGACGGCCGGGTGTCCAGAAGACGGTCGTGTAGGGAGAATAGGGAGGACGAGTCGAAGGAGGACAGTTGAGGGGCTGAATTGAGTCATTTTGAATTGGTCTTGGAGAATTATGAGCTTGAGCTTTGAACAGAGCTGAAGCTCTTGTTTCTAGAGGGCCGTGAGTTTGAGAATGAGCTCGAAATTTCAAAGAATATTTTAAGAAAGCACTGTCTGATCCCCCTCGATCAGTGCGACTAGATTCATTATTTTTATTGAAATCCTATTTTTCTTCAACCAAGAACGGTTTTTGTACTCTATAAACATTTGCGTACATTTTCAATTCGGTTTGATGCTGTTCGTCCTTCGCAAAGGTCTATTTTGTCGGTTATTTTCTTTTTTTACGAAATGCATTGAAACCTTCTTCAAAACTCGCTTTTCAGCAGCGTGAGTGCTTGAAGAGTAGGCTGATATTGAAAAAGAGCAATATTCAATATGAAAACTCTAATATTTCATTTAAAACTTCTAAAAAAACTCAAATAAATATGTTTTTCGAAACGTCTCCTGCGTGAATTAACGCACAGCAAAGGAGCGCGCGGCATCTATAAACACGCCCCTTTTTCCTGCGACCCTGACGAAAGTTTCTACACAAAAGTGGTTCACCCGATTTCGCCACTTTTTTTGCTTATAACTTTTTCATTTTTTTCATATTTTTTTCTTTTCTGTTTTTCGCAGTTAGCTCTCGATTGCCATCAGCTTTCTTTTTCAAATAGGTTTTCAACTTTATATCACTGACTTTGGAAATTGGCCTGCGGTCCCTACATTTGCGTAACAATTTTTCACATGAACTTCTACTAAAATATATTGGCCTTCAAAAAAATAATCGAAAAAAATCAATTTCCCTTATATTTTTGCCGATAGAAGCCAGTTTCATACTGAAAAATGTCTAGATAAATCTCAGGAATGTGTCAGAAAAAAATTGGGTTGAAAAAATTTTTCATGAGAACAAATTTTGCATAGTGAAAAGAGCAATTTTTTTCTTTTGGAATAAGGTCTTTTTTTCAATTTTAGATGCTCTTTCAAGTTTATCAGAACAAGAAAACCGACTTTGAAAGCTTCAAAAAACAAAAAAACTGCTTGAAATCTTGGAAAAACAAATTCAAAGCTTAAAGGTCATTTTTAAGCTTATACGGTTTTTTAAAAACCTTTCGAAGCTTCAATTTTTCTTCATAAATCTAAATTTCAACCCGTTTCTCCATAGAGTACTCCTGAAGCTTCAACAAGTTACCTGTGAAATGAGTGTCCCCAGTTTTGAACAACTGATACCACTTCACTCCGCGAGCTTCTCTTCTTCCACCAATGTAGACGAAAACAGATACGAATCTGAACTTTTTCTTCGAAGTTCGAGATTTTTTTCAAGCTTACAAAACGGAAAAAACAATGATGATGGCCACAGAAGCGGCGACGCCCAGAAAGACGGCTCCCATGTGGGCGTTGGTCATCACGAAGCCCATCACCACTGAAATTTCCCATTTAGAAGCATCAGAGAGCTTTTTGTAAGCTTTAAGGAAATTACTTGGCTTGCTAGCAGTCATATTTCTTCAGTGAGGTTCAAAAAATCAAGCTGATCCAAATTTCCTTTCTGAAAATGAAGATGCCGGGATGAATTTCGAACATTTTTTGGTATTATTTGATACAGATCCCATTATTGGAAATGCTAGGTGCAAGTTTGTTTTTTAAATAGTTTATTCTGGTCCCCCATTCCTTCTCCCCCTCCACTAAACTCTCAGAAAAAAATAGAGATTCTTTTCGTCTTTTTCAATACTGATCCATACTGAAAATGCGAGGTTCAAGTTTTTCTGAAATTTTTCTCTGGTTCTTCCCCCGCCCCCTGGATCTTAGATCCCCCTGAGTCCTAAAGAATCCTCCCCTCCACTAAGTCTTGTTAGAAAACTCATGTTATAGTCCATCCACCGCGACTTGATCAGTTTTCGCGTGTTTGCGTCTCTCTCATCCCTCCACGGCGAGGTCAGAGAAACATGGAAATAGCACGTATATATGAGAAGTCGAGAGACAAGGAGGTCACAGAGAAGTCTTTAAAGTCGCGAAAAACAGACTATCTAACTTTTCCAATTTTTTGAAGTTTTCCGCTAAACTCCGCGAGTCCTGAAGCGTACAGCTTGAACATTTTCAAAACGTAGTACTTTTTTAAAATCGGAATAAGAACTCACAAAACGTGACGACGACGACGGCGGCCGCCGAAACCGTCCCGGGAAGATCATGGGCCAAAATGAAAGCAATCTTTTCCGTCGGATGAACGGCGGCCGAAGAATAACGGGCCCAGCTGTGGTGCAGGTGGAACAGCCACAAGAGTCCGATCCCTACAAAGTTTTTCCACATTTTTTCGATTTTAGAGAATCGAATTAGACGGAATGGAGAAAAACAAGAAATCGATGATCTTTTTCGGTTCTTTGGGATTTTTTCCTTGAAAATTCAAAGTGTAGAAAGCTTCAAGGTAGCTTACAAAGAGGGCGTTAAGGCGAAAACCGTTTTGGGTCGGGACAAAAGGAAAAAGTTTGCACTTCTCACTGGATTATTGAATTTTTTGCGCTCTTCATGTTTCCTATTTGATGATTGCTTGATAAAAACTGTCCTGAAGCTCAGGAAAAGTGCCTTGACGCGAAAACCGTTTCAGGTCGGGACAAGGAAAAAATCTTTTTTATCGCTCTGTTGGGATTTTTCGCGCTTTTCATCTTTCCGAATGATTTTTTGATGATTTAACAAGACTTTCTAGGAGCTTGTAAAAAGTGCGCTGTGGCGGAAACCGTTTCAGGTCGGGACAAGGAAAAGAAAAATCTTTTTTATCGCTCTGTTGGGATTTTTCGCGCTTTTCATCTTTCCGAATGATTTTTTGATGATTTAACAAGACTTTCTAGGAGCTTGTAAAAAGTGCGCTGTGGCGGAAACCGTTTCAGGTCGGGACAAGGAAAAGAAAAATCTTTTTTATCGATCTATTGAGATTTTTTGCGCTTTTCATTTTTTCGAATGATTCTTTGATGTATTAATAATTTCTAGAAGCTTGAAAAAAGTACGTTAAAGCGAAAACCGTTTTGGGTCGGGACAAAGGAAAAAATTTGCACTTTTCATTGGATTATTGAATTTTATGCGCTTTTCATGTTTCCTGCTTTCTTGATAGGATCTGTCCTGAAGGTTAGAAAAAGTATGTTGAAGCGAAAACCGTTTCAGATCGGGACAAGAACATTTTTTTTTTATCAATCTAAGGGTATTTTCGCGCGTTTCATCTTTCCAAATGATTTTTCATTGACTCAAGCTTTCCTGAAGCTTAGAGAAATTACTGTGAAGCGAAAACCGTTACAGGTCGGAAGAGTACAGAAAAATCCCTAATTTTTTTTTTGAAATCGAATATTTGAAAAAGTTTTTTGTTACGGTGGAATTTTAGATTGAGGCGAAAACCAATTTTGGTGGGGAAAAAAACGAAAATTTCCAAAATATCTTTTTTTCGTATTTGATTGTTTGAGCATTTTCAGCGGCAACAGCATCTATTCAACAAAAAGAACCATACAAAAAATGTCTAAAAAGCTTTCTGAAACAGTAAAGTGCGTGTAAAATGAGCCACGAGGTTTCCGCGGAGGCGCGCCTAATTGACGGATATCCTTCCTACGCGGCTTCGAATTTTAACACCTTTCGGGAATATGATCGGAAAAGTAAAGAGATAATTAATTTTTGGAGGATTTGTGGGTCCGGAAAGGGCATATGGCTTTGAAAGTATCGAAAAAACAAAAAAATCGCGCTAAGAAAAGGGAAAATCTTGCTTTAAAACCTTCACACTAAGTTGAAATACAATTTTTAACAGCTGATATTCAAAAAAAAAGTTGAAATCATCCTTTTCGCTCGATACAACGTCAAAAAACGCAAAAGTTTATGATGAAGCCAGAAAAAAAGGAATTTTTCTGACGTTTCCTTGTCCAAAATGAGGTTTCTACGTCGTTCTGAAGCCATTTTTGGCATTTTTTTACGTACTTTATTGATAGATTTGTTTTTCAGATGGTTTCAAAGTCATCTTTTCGTTTTTCGCTTTTTTTGAACTAATTCTAGGGATAAAATTGAATTTTTTTAGGGAAATAATTCTCTAATTTATAATATATTGATGGCTACCTTGTAACAAAATCGAGAAAAAAACTTGATTTTTTTCATTAAAAAGGTCTTCGAACGATTGGAATGCGAAAAAAAGAGGTTTTTTTACAGTGTTTTAGACTATTTTTTGAAAGGGAGAGCCTCGAAATTCAGATTTTTCCGAGGAATAGTTTCATTAGAAGCTCAAAATTGCTCTCTCAGACTTATTCTTCACTAAAATTACTGATAAAAATGAAAATTCCTTGAACAAACCCAAAGAAACAAAAGCGACAGGCCAAATGAGCGGATCAATAGCCGAATCCCGATAGAATTGCATCGCCAGCCCTGGAAATTTGTTTATTTCCCTCAATATCTTGGTTTATTCGAAGATGATCTTTAAAAACATGCTCTAGTTGCGAGAAAAAATAAGTTTTTTCTTCCAAAACATTCCTTAGTATGAGTTTTTAAACCAACCGGTGAGCCCAGAGACGATCAACGCGACGAAAATCATGATACCGACCAGCGGTTTTGACTGAAAACTTTGAAAAGTTATAAAATATCAAAACTTCCATTTTTCGAGCTATTAAGCTGAACTATATCTTATAAACTTCATGAATATGTGTTTGAATTCAAAAAAAATTATTTTTTAAAAATAAAATTGATTGTTCCCGTAAAAACTCGGCATTTCGCGTAAACGTGCTCCATGGAACTCTCTTTCTCTCTGCGCTCTCTCAAGGGGAAGAGCGGATATTTTTTTTCGATTTTTTCTCTTTTTTTCAAATTAATTTTTATACATTATGTATATATTCTACGTGAAATTTCGAAGTCAAACCTGATAGGCATTGATTCCGAACGAGGCGGCAAAGCAGAAAATGAACAGGATGAAGGCGCAAACGATCAGCCACCTGAATATTCTTTTTTCTTTTTAAGTATCTTTCTTCGCTCGATATGGGGATTATTCGACTGGCAGAAATTTTTTTCTAATCGGTATATTTTCTCCGGTCCGGACATTTATTAACTTTTTTGAAAGCCTAATCCTTTTTAGCGGTAAAAACTTCTTGAAACGTCTTTTTTTTTTCCAATTTCACGACTTTTTTGCTCAGTTTCAAGGCAATAGTTTTCTGAACAGGGAATATTTCTCAAATATTCTGAATTCTGACCTTTTTTTATTTCGGGACTGTCTTATTTATGAAGCTTAAAAAATCCTTCTAGAGATTTTTTTGACTTTCGCCCGATTTCGTGAAGTATAGATTTTTTTTTTTCGTTTTTTAATGGTCAAAATTTTTTCTTCAGACCCACCAGTACTGATCCTGGATCGCTTCAATCACAGTAATCCGGAAAACTTCTGGAGACCACGGCAGCATGTTGAGGCTCTGTGCGGCTGTCAGACGGACCTGAAAGTAAGATTATTTGAGAAAAAATCCGATGTGTTAATAGTTTTTGTAAGTTTATAGTTCCAGGCAGTCATATTTTCTTCAAAATTTTATCTTAAATCGGAAAAAAAGAGTCTTACAATAATAAATGAGCCATGAAAATCGGAAATTTGTAGTCTTTCAGTTGAAAATTCAAAAGAAAGTGTTGGAAAGTCCAAGTTTTTTTTTTGAGTCAAGTCGATAATTGTGGAGAAAGAATCGTACTAGGGCCATGGAGATTGAAAAAAGAGTAGAAATTTAGGAAAGAAGATGTTAAAAATGGATTTTCATTCAGAAATCGAGCAATAAATGATCGTATTTGACTAGAAATGAGTCTTGAAACCGGAAATTACGTAGAAATCCAAGTTTCAACTCCTAAAAGCTTGCTTTTTGAATAATATTGAGAAAAAAGAACTCTAATAGAACAAAAAATGAACGATGGAACTCTTGTAAACAGACGCTTTGAAAAGAAAAAACGAGATATTGAAAAATTCAAAGGGACCTGCTCGTCGAAATGCCGTTGCCAGGCCCTTTGTTCGTCCTCCGATAGATCATCGCGCAGCTCAAATTTCATCAATAATGAAGCCGCCCGGGAGATCGCACCGTCCGTGTCCGTTTCGACGCCTGCAAAGTGGTTATTTCATGATTTTCGAGGAAGAATGAAGATAAGGAGGAAAAATTCAGTATATTACTCATGCAGAGGAGATTTTTCTAGATTTTGATGAGAAAATGGATATATTGGGGGAAAAAATTTATATGGTTTTGTAATAAAAAAATGATGATATGTAAGGGGGTCAGTAAAAGGATGATAGGGGGAGTTCAAAAATTCCACCAGTGAAAAAAATGTGGTTTTTTTCGGTTGATTTTTCTATTTATCAGTCAGTTTTATATGATTTTTCAAGTAAAAAAAGAAGATCTGTAAGGGGGGAGGGGGAGTTTAAAATATCACCCATGGAAAAAAAGGTTTTTTTCGATTCATTACCAATTTATAAGCCTTTCTCAAGGCCTAGAGAGTGTAATTTTCATGACTTGATGAAAAAATGAAGACAGAGGTGAAAAATCAGTTATCACTCCATTTCAACGCCTCGACAGAGGGTATTTTTCAAATAATTTTTTCTCAAAAAAATAATTGGATGATAAATTTAAGTTTCAAAAGAAAAAGTACTGGACTTTTTTGAATACCTCTTACAACTTTTTGAAAACTTTTTCAACTGTCGAATATCTGCATCTTTATAACCCTTCACAAAATAATATTCAGGATTTGAAATTGGCAGCTATAAATTATTCCTGAAGGCGTTTCATAACTAGGAGCGAAAAAGATGAAAAAAAAATCTGAAAAGCTTTTTTGCAGGCGAAAATTGAATAGGGACCAAGTTTAAAGCTTAGAATAAAAATTGTTGGGAATTCAACATTTTGATCTTTGAAGTCCGTAGCAGGGAAGAAATAATGGGAATCTTGGAATTAACTCACCCCCAACGGCTCCGCCAATGTACAGCCTGGTCATGTTCGAGGAATCCTTGCTTGTAGTCACATAGGTTTCCGGATAGGTTAGGAGCAACCTTAAGGAGTATTCGATTGAATTTTGGGATTTTATGAAATTATTATTTGTTTATAAAAGATTATTTGATTACGCTTAGGATCAAAGAAAATTTTTATTTGATTAATCCTTGAGATTTATGAAAAATTCGAAAACCTGAGGACTTTTCTTAACGATCCGATCGACCATATCCCGGTCCATTTCGCATTCCTGAGAGCAGGAAACGAGGAACTGAAAAATATACATTTTTTCCATCGAGCCTCGATTTTTGAAGCTTTTTTGAACAAAGAATAATTTTCTTTACCTCCCGTTTTTCCAAAGGAAAATGATCGAGTTTCTTTTTCAAGGCTGTGTAGGCGAGAACCGCGTCTTTCCGTAGAACTGTATCCCTTGAAGAGCTGAAAAATTTTTTCTTTTTCTAGCTAAACTTTTTTGACATTATATCTGTAAAAAAATGATTTTTCGCGAATTTTAACATAGTCTGAACAATTTTAAACATAAAAAAATACCTAATTTTTGACTCAAAAATATAATTTATTTGAAATAAAGCTGTTTTTTATAATTGTGCAAAAGAAAAAGTGGGGGAGAATGATAATACTTTTTTAAAACGACTTTAGAGTTTTTCTGAAACAGTGATCCGTTGAAAATAATTTTTTTTAAAATTGTTTCCCTTTTCAAAAAGTTCAGTTCATTCGGCGCTATTCAATCAAACCCTACTAGGTAAAAAAAAGGGGCGTGGCCGGCCAATGGGAGACAAAGCTTACTGGAGCGGACTTGCAGAACGACACGTGAATGTGCTATGAAAAAAAGAACAAAAAAAAAAGTTTTACTCCGATGGATTACTGTTTCAGAACAGTTCCAGCTTAACAATACCTAATTTTGACACAAAAGTATAATTATTTGTAAAGAAATGGTTTTTTTTATAATTGTGCAAAAGAAAAATGGGAGAGAATGATAATACTTTTTTCAAACGACTTTCAAGTTTTTCTGAAACAGTGATCCGTTGGAAAAAAAAAACTTTTTTATTTTTTTTTATAGCACATCCAAGGGTTGCTCTACAAGCGCGCTCCAGTAAGCTTTTTCTCTCATTGGCTGGCCACGCCCCTTATTAAACAGAAAAAAAAAAACGTGGTGGATTAGATTGAGTAGCGCTGAAGGGCGGAATGTTTTTAAAAAAAGAGGAAAAAAAAAAAAAACTTTCAAAGGATCACTGTTTCAAAAAAACTTCAAAAAAAATTTTTTTAAAAAAAGTATTTTTCATTCCGGATCTTTAGACTCTTGTACAATCATAAAAACGTCTTTATTTCGAATAGATGTCACTTTTGGGTATTTTTGAGCTGATTTTGTTCAGATTGTATAAAAATTCGCTCAAATTTCAGTTTTTAACATAGTGAAAAGCGGAAAAAGCTCGCCCAAAACTTGAAAAAAAAGAATAAAGTCCCGAAAAAACTGTTTCTTAAGCTACGAAAGAGTCAAAAGGCTCCTAGAGTGACCAGCTATATTTGGTACCTTGGGAGGTCGCTTCAAATTTTTAAGGTCTGAAGAAGGGAATTTTTAAGTTTTAGTTCCTATTTTATAATTCTAAAATATTGCATTCTTGGATTTTTGATCAAAAAGTGAGCTCTCACGTATGAAAACTTAACGTTTAATTTATTTTTGCGTATGAAAACTTCATTTTTCAGACCTTCCTAACATTGAAATATACGTTTCGGGACCTTTTAAAATGACGAATTTTATTAATTTCAGTCATTCCGTGAAATCCGTTCCAATATCTATCTAAAAACCTTGTGAAACTCCCAGATCGATCCGAATCATCTGTATTCTTTACTTCTATTCTGCTTGAAAAAATTCCCTTTTCGAAGCCGTTGATCTTTTTTCAATGTTTCCATATCCCTACAGGGAAGGTCATTTTCCTTTGCGTTCCTGAAAATTGGCCAGAACACTCCTTGGTGTACCAGAAGAAGATTCTGGAAGTCTCAACCTGCACAACTTCCTAGTTCTCGAGAAATAAGGGTCTAAAGCCCCAAAATAGCTCATTTCAATAGATTTCGAGCGTTTTCTTTGAACTTGCAGCGAAAACTAGGATGTTGTGCAGTTTGAGACTTTCAGAATATTCTTCTGATCCATCAAGAGCGTTCTGGCCGATTTTCAGGAAGTTCTCAACCATGAATTATTACGGTAGAGGCTTACGATCTTCCCTTTAAGGAATCTCAAAAAAAGGGATCTCAAAAAAAAAAAAAAATGAGCCACTTACATGGTCCTGAGCAAAACGGCGTAATGTTGCCTCTCCCGAAAGTTGAGCGAAGTAAACGCCGGATTACTGTAGTTGAAGTCGGGAGACTTCGGAGCGACCCCTCCAGGGACCACGCTGTTGGCGATGACGTCACTGGCCGTGCCGAAAAGGTGTCGGAAAGGCACGTCAACGAAAATCTGCTCTCGCCGGTAGATCGGCATCGCCAGCGCCATCGCAAAGCACAGTATCGCCACAAACTACAGTAGGATAGATAAAGACTACGGTAGAGGCTTACGATCGAGGAGAATGGCCGGTTGGCGAGGAACTTGCCTAGCGACCAGAGCAGCCGACGCAAACCGACTTCGAAGAACCGTAATGAGCGGATACGGTATACCCCGGGGGTGTAGGCTGGAAAGTCTTGGATGAAAGTACATTCACCGCCAGAAAACAAATGTCTGGACCTCTCCTTTTTGCACACTATTTTGTCATATATTTGAATTCAAAATGAGCTATATATAGTTTTCTACGGTAAGAAGTAGTCTAGGGGTGAAAATTGGGTTTTATGTGGCTCGGTCAAGATGTGAAACTTGAAATTCGGACTGATGTTGATCTGGGAAAATTTTTAGTACTATAGAGGCTCGCCAAGGACTACTTCGAGAGGACACTAAAGTGGCCACTAAACCCACCTCTACAGTGGCCACTATTTTCCGTTTTAGTGGCCACTATAAAGGTTCTCTATTTAGTGGCCACTTCAGTAGTTTTTCATCCAGTATTCCTTCCAGTAACTCTGATAATTTTATAACAAACAGATTGGACCAGTTATGTTGATCCATTGACCCCTAAAGTGGCCACTAAAATTTTTAGTGGTCTAGTAGTAGCACTTAGACCTCTATAGTGGCCACTAATTTTTAACCCCTTAAGTGGCCACTAATGTGACCACTACATTAAAACGTCAAAACCCTATAGAGGACACTTAAAATTTTCCCAAATTGGAAAATTAAATAAGGATTTTTTATTAATCCAGTAAGACCCTCCCAACAGCTTAATCAATCGAAGCGGATTTTTAAGAGGAATAGTTGCCCTAGCGCTCTGATCTTTTTTCAGGAAGTGAGAGAGAAAGAGAGCACAGACGGTCAGATTTTTTGAATTGTGGAGGAATGGAGTAACTAATTGTAGTTATTCAGAAGGGAGTTGGAGATATTTGAGATACCTTTTTTGGCCTCTTAATGTACCTTTATCGGATTTAAAGGGTCCAAGATCTTGAGTAGGACTATATATGAAGAATTCTAACTTGCTGACCTCCGACTGGATGTTTGACGTTTGGAACGTCGATTTTATGAACGTAGGTGGCCATCTGCATCTCGTTGGTGATTCTTCGGACTAGAGCTTTTTCGGCCTTCCGATCCCGTCGATCAAGGGTCGTTGTTGTGGATGGTGGCTCCTGGAAAAGTATACTTTTAAGGTTTTGAGCTCATTTTTGTGACGTATCATCGAAAAATCCGAACAGAGAAGGATTTTTCTGACTATAGTCCATTCATAAGCTTCTCAAGAGGTTAGGCACCTTTTCAAGGTTCTGAAGGCATTTTTTTGACGTATCATCGAAAAATTCGAATAAAAAACGATTTTTCTGGCCGTAGTCTACTCATAAGCTTCTCAAGAGGCTACGATCTTTTTCAATGTTTTGGCTAATTTTTTGAAGTTTGACCGAAAAATTCCAACAAAAAAGGATTTTTCTGACCATAGTCCATTCATAAGCGTTTTCATGAAGTTTGTCTCTTTTTCAAGATTTTCGGCTCATTTTTTCGAAGTATCACCCGAAATTACCAATAAAAAAGGATTTTCCTGACTATTGTTCATTCATAAGCTTCTCAAGAAGTTAGGCTGCTTTTCAAGGTTTCCGGCTTATCTTTTCGAAATTTCACCGAAAAATTCCATCAAAAAAAGATTTTGCTGACCATAGTCTATTCATAAGCTTTTCAAGAAGTTCCTCTCTTTCTCAAGGTTTTGGGCTCATTTTTTCGGAGTATCACTTGAAAAATTGAACAAAAAGTGATTTTACTGACCAAAGTCCATTCATACGCTTCTCAAGAGGCTACACCATTTTTTAAACTTTTTTAAAGCTGAACTCCACCATCATGCTGATAGATAGACTATAATTCCAGTCCCTCTAGACATTCCTCCTAGGATACTGTAGCTTTTCCGTGCCAGGACCTTTTCCTTGAAACTTAGCTGTTCCTTCCGACTCTGTGACAAGCTGCCGGTTTCACTATCAAATGACAAGGAAAAGTTCATCTGACAAAATTTGATCGGTAATTTTATTTTGTCTGAAAACCTCGACGTAGCTGGTCCGTTCTCCTAAAGGATGATGTGAGACGGGTGACGTCACTGGTGGCGTCATCGAAGGCGATGACGAGGTTTTTCGGGTCTCGACACGTCTTTCTTCCAGCTCACGACGTTCTCTTTCGATCCTTTCTCGTTGCTTCTTCTCCTTGTCTTCTCGCTGGAAATTTAGTGAGAGGTTAGCGCAGTCGGCAAGAAGCTTGTCTATGGTTCAAAGGGTCGCAGGTTCAATCCCGGTGGAAAGTCAAAATGGGCTTCATCGATGAAAATTCAACGGGGATTTGCTGAGAAAGGATAGGTTCAAAGTATGTGTTCAAAAAAGTCTATGAAGGAAGTTTTAAGTTCATGAGCTGAAAAAATTTCTTGACATGCTTTTTTTTTGCCAATTTCTGAGCTCCGATCTGAATTTAAAGTTCAAAATGTCGCATTTTGATGCTAGTCTTATCAAGAAGCCCTGCTATGAGTCTAGAGAAGTTCCTGAGTGAATTGAGAAGATTCAGTGGGTCAGGAAGAAAATTGAGATTGTTTTAATCCTACTTCTTCGCTCCTACCTTCAAGGTAGAGACCCTTGTAGGCTCCCTGGCGTTGTTGTAGACCGCGGCGGCGGCGGCGGTGCTGGCCGTCGACGTCGACGAGTAGTTGGGACAGCCACCGGCGTCCTCGTCGGTGCTGCTTTCGTCGGGCGGCGGAACCGTCGGCGGAGGTGCTGGCTGAAAGATTTGGAAGTTGGAATCAGAAGCTTAGACTTGACGATTTTCTCGAGAAAATTTCTTGCTTGGAATGGTGAAATGGTTGAACTTTTCATGAAGCTGATCTATACGAATCAATCGTCCGCCAAGTTACATCGAAAGTTCGAAAGTTTGGAAGATATGGTCAGTTGGCCGCAACTTTTTCTCGGCCCTTTTTCCAAAATTGATATTTTTTTATAAGCTCGAAGAGTTTGAGACGGCAATGTTAAGCATCAGATTTGTCTGATTCCTCTGCACCCTCCTTTTCTCTCAGCGGCTTCTTCGGACATTCCGTTTCACGTTTCTAAGTTCTCGATGGTGAGAGAAAAGAGACACAGACAAGTCAGACTTTTTCCAGTCGTGGTGAATGGACTTTGTCAAGATATTTCAGGCAGGATCAATATTTCGAATCAGTCCTAAGCTTCTGACACCCATTTTCCGAGGTTTTCAAGCTAGAATGACAAAAAAAAGGACAATTTTCCGAATCAAAGTCAAATTAACCATGTGCAATTTCACTGCAGAGAGAAAAGGAGAGATGAAAAAACGTAAAATAACAAATAACTTGTATTTTCTGAAATACATGAACCTAGGGACATGGAAAATAAACAAATACTCATTTCAAAACCTGAACGATTCGTCAAAAGATAGCAATCTTTCGATTTCGCGCGTAGATTGACTGAAGTTTTTGATTGATTCACCACTGGGCGCACTTTAAAACTCAACTTGACCTGACCTCGAGACAAAAGAAGGATTTTCAGATAGAAATTGAGCCTTTCTTCAAGAAAAATGCAGCTTCAAGTGTTTTTAGCCATGTTAAGATGTTAAGATAACTATCAACATGAAAAAAATACCATCGAAAATTCAAACGGCGACTTTTCCGATTTTTTCATATCGCTAGTGAACTTTCCGACTTTTTTTCCTTTATATTTTTTCGGTTTATAAAAAAATCTATAAACATTTTTCCTATTTCTTTGTGTTTAAATCATGA